TAAAAAAAATACTAATTTATTATTCTGTAACTAAAATAATAATATTTTAAGATTATAATCAGCACATGTAATTTATAAGTAAATGCATATATGTTTAAAAAAAAAAAGTAAATGCATATATAATAGGATAATACTACAGGGAAGCTCAAGCAATCATGATGGTAACCATGTAATTACGTAGAAGATACTATTTTCTGTTTTTTATTTTTTTATTAACCCAAGTTATCCGATAACGACATTAAAAATATTGTTTGATTTGAAATTAAGTTAGATTTGACTTGTACTTGGGCTTTCTGATTCAGTGGCTGCAGATCAGGCTATCTGTGAGTGCATCTTTTTTTTTTTTTTTCAAAGTAATGGTTTCGAATCCCATTTTTTGTAAATTTATTAAAAGAAAAATGTTAAATATTAAATTTGGTCTTTTAATTTTAAGAAATGTATATTTTTGATCCCTTAACAATTTTTTGCATTATTTTGATCCCTCAATTATAAGAAATGCACTCCGTTAGTCATTCTGTTAATTTAAGCCCTTAACTTCTCTTATGTGGCATTTTTTAGATTTTTTTGATGATTTGGAGAGTAAAATTTAGAAAAGTGATGATATAGACAAATATTTTGACATGTCATGTTACTATGTGTCAAATCTATTCAAATGGGTCTCACATCACTAATAAAGAAATTTGTCTTTGGTTGACATGACACCAAATTTATTTAAATGGGTCTCACATCACTAATAAAAAAAGATATCTTTTGATGACATAAAAAATTAAGTGATATTTGTTATATTTTTTTAATAATATAACAAATTAAATTAAATATTTATCTGAATAAAAAATAATATCAAATCAAATTTTATTAATTAATCATCATTAAACTATAATTATTTATATTAATTAAAATTAAGATTCTAATTTAATTTATAATTAAATCACAATTTTTTCACCAAATTTTCTTTTTTTAATGGACATTATAATTTCTCGGTAACCAATTTGGACAACCAAACAAATTCAAAGTATTTTCTCGGCATCCAAACACCCAAACCATACCATTTTCCAGCCAAACAAATGAAAACCCACTAAGAATTGCTTCTTTGCTCAACTGCTTCTGTTCTTTCCATTTTGAATCTTGCGACTTAGATAATCTCTTCGCAAACAAACATATAACAAAAAAAAAAAAACAAAAAAGTGGAGCTAGGTTCACCGAACCCAGCAAATTGGGTTCCTCGAACCCAGTTGCTGGGTTCCGGTGGAACCCAGTTTGTTGGGTTCGGTGAACCTAGTTGCTGGGTTCCACCGAACCCAGCAAATTGGGTTCCTTGAACCCAGTTGCTGGGTTCCATCGAACCCAGCAAATACAGAGGAAGAAGAGGAAGAAAGAAAAAGAAAAAAAAAAAAAGGAAGAAGATGGATCAAGAAAAGAAGATGGGTAAATTTGTAATTTTTTATTTTTTTATTAAGATAAAATCGGTTTATAAATTGGCGATGAGTTGGATGAGTTGGCAATGACGTGCCTTAAAAAAAAATTCCAAATCAACGTTTTTTTAAATTGTTTTTGTCATGTCATCAAAAAAATTATAAAAAATGCCACATGTCGTAGTTAACGGTCTAAATTGACAGAAAGACTAACAGAGTGCATTTCTTAGAGTTGAGGGACAAAAAAATGCAAAAAAATTGTTAAGGGACCAAAAATGTGCAACTCACTAAAGTTAAGAGACTAAATTTAATATTTAACTAAAAAGAAATTAAATTTGACTTGATACGAAGGAGTTATCTCAATATTTATTTTTTTTGTTTATAAAGTTCAATGTTATTTGAAAAAAAAAAAAAACTGTTAACATCGGTAATGCAATTCGGTTGTCTATTTCTGTTTACTTTCCCAGATAAAAATCAAATGCAACTTTTCATGGTCATCTGTCAAGTAGTAGTTTCCATGCAGTAGTTGTGTATATCTCTAAAAGCAAATGTTTTCGTTCCCGGCCCGTAACAGGCATGAAAAGGAAAATGATCTGACGATAATTTTCTGGAGGCTCAACTCATAAGTCATCTATGGATTAAGTTCAAGGCGACTGCCCATGACAGGTAACTTGAGCATTCCCATGTCACCCCAAATGCAGCTTTAAAATCCGTGGTCCTATAAAGTCTCACCTAACAGTCTCCTCCTCGGTGTCAGCAGATGATGTAGAAAGGACTTGACTTTTGTTCTGTCACTACAGTCATCCTTGTGAATCTACTTCTCAAATTGGGCTTATAGGAAGTCTCTGTATTCCGGCTGAGGTAAATCTGACTTAGCCACAAGGGTTACTCTGGAATGGTCTCGCATTCATCATTGGAGTCCAATTATCGAGTTGAGGTGAATTGTTTTCTTATTCAGCTTTTCGTGCATCCTATGTGATCGGTGGGCGTTTAAGATAATAATAGAAGACACAGCGATTCATTGTGAGGTATAATAGGGTAATTACATGAATAGAAAAGGACAGAAATTACCATGTGTTTGACAATGTGCTGGTGAGACCAAGGAGAGGTAATGAAGGACCCACTTTCAAAGTTCATAATCTTTCTGTGTTTCCTTTGCTGTAGTCATTAGTTTTCTACATAACATTGGTTCCGTGTTGAGTTGGAGAATAAACATAAAATCTGAGTTTGTGGTTCTTCCTGTGTTTCTGTTACAACACTCTTGATTGTTGGGCTTTTGGGTTCACTTTGAAATAGAGAAGTTTGATTCTTTCAGAGGAGGATTGAGGAATCTAATGGCTGGGATTGGGATGAAACGGTGGGATTTGAGATTAATGGGAGTAGTCTTGGTGGGTTTTCTTCTTGTAGCTCAAATGCTTGTTATGGCAGAAGTAAAGTTGATACAAGAAGTTTCAAGGTATAACCAGACTCAGGAGGTTGTTGAATCTGATTTTCTTGCTTTGAATTTCGGGTGGCAAGAAGGTCAGCTGGGTAATGGACGTGTCTGGCCTGTAAGTTAATTCTTTATCACATTCTTGTTTGTGTAATGTTTAGGATATTTCATCTTTTTCTGCTTAGGTTGCTTGAAAATGTGCTGTTTCTCTGCATGGAAAATTCAGAAAAAGAACAAAAACTACAGTTCTTATTTATTTGCAAAAGATGTTCTAAATTTCAAAACTCAGAGTAGTTGTATAATCAGTGGATTTTGGTTAATTTGTAGGAAATGAGATTTGGGTGGAGAATTATAGTGGGTACAATAATTGGATTCTTTGGAGCAGCGTTTGGGACAGTTGGAGGAGTTGGCGGGGGTGGCATTTTTGTTCCTATGCTTAGGTTGATTATTGGATTTGATGCAAAATCGTCTACTGCAATTTCAAAATGTAAGATAATTCACCCTTTCTGAATGTCTACTTTATAGCATTTCGATTTCCATTTGTTAAATGGAAAGTTTAGGGTCAAGTTTCAAAAATCATGTATAACCTTGCTCTTCTTTCAATGTTTAATTACTACACACTGACAAATATGCAAAGTTAACCATCTGCTAACACTTGTTTGGGGCATCAGAATATCTCGAGATGATTGTGTCTGTCTGATTTAGGTATGATCACCGGAGGAGCATTTGCGACAGTTACCTACAATTTAAAGTTGAGGCATCCAACTCTTGAAATGCCCCTCATAGACTATGACCTGGCACTTCTATTTCAACCGGTGTTGGTGTTGGGAATCAGCATTGGGGTTGTATTGAATGTGATACTTGCTGACTGGATGATCACGGTTTTGTCAATTATCATCTTCTTGGGTAGTCATATTCTGAGTTCTGAATTTTTACTCTACTTTACAATTTTCCTGAGCTGATAGGTTCTGGCATCCTGCAGCCACGTCAACTAAGGCATTCCTCAAGGGTGTTGAAACATGGAAAATGGAAACCTTAATTAAAATGGTACTCTAATTTTTCTCATTCGTGAGGACAATAAAGTCTACTTCAATTTAGTTTCAATCAGTTCGTTCTTTCATTGTCTAATCTTATTTTTAGGTTAAATTTCCTTGATCCTACTTCATGTGTTTCTGATTTTTCAGGAGGCTGCTACACAGTTAGAGTTAAATGGTAAGTGAGTGGAGAGTTCATTCATTTTTGCCCTATAGGGTAGAAACTTTTGATATTGATGTTCAGTATCATAAAAATTCTTCTTCCAGGCTAATTTGCTTTTTAATTAGATGATGCTAGTGATGGAGCAGAATACAAGCCTCTTCCTGAAGGCCCAAGCAATGGTCCTCAACCAGAAACCAAGCAATCTGAGCAGTCAGAGGTGGGAAATTTCCCACAGGGCTGTTTTGCCATGATTTATTATTCTTGTAACTGACCAAAGTTCTTCTCAGGTCTCTATTCTTGAGAATGTTCACTGGAAGGCACTCGGGGTTCTCTTCGCTGTCTGGATTATAGTTCTTGCATTGGAGATTGCTCAGGTTTTTAATCCATTTTCTGCTTACTCAGTAATTAGTATTAGGACCCTTTTGCCTTTATTTTCATTCATCCTCAATCCAACCCGATTGACGATAATCCTACATCTTGTGGCACAGAATTACTCCACAACCTGTTCTGTTGCATACTGGGTTTTAAATCTATTGCAGGTACGTTAACTATAACCAACAAACAAATTATGCAAGTTTCCCTATTTTAGCTTTTTTAGTGAAATCAAGCCAATTGTGTTGCTACTTCTAAAGCCTTATTATCCCTTGTCTTTCAGATCCCAGTGACTGTTGGAGTTTCATCTTATGAGGCCGTCTGCCTGTACAAAGGATGGAGAGAGCTTGAATCAAAGGGAGATGCAGCTACAAACTGGAAAGTTCACGAGCTGATTCTTTGTTGTGCTTGTGGTGTTTTAGCCGGTCTAGTAGGAGGGTTGCTTGGTCTAGGAGGAGGATTTATCTTAGGTCCTCTTTTTCTGGAATTGGGAATTCCTCCACAGGTGCATTTATCCTTCCCCTCAGGTTTGAGTATCTGCTTGATAATGACTTCTGTTTGATGGCCTTAAGAATTCTTGTTTAGTGGTCGTATATACAGAGTATTTGAAATATAAGCTTGCAATTTTCATTTCTTAATTGCCAAGCTAGATAACTTTGCTTATGTACGGTGGAAGTGATACACATAACCTGACTTGTTTAAAACTTACATGCAGGTGTCTGGTGCCACAACTACCTTTGCCATGGCATTTTCAGCATCAATGGCTGTTGTAGAGTATTACCTACTAAACCGCTTTCCAGTTCCTTATGGTATGTCAATCATGAATTCTGAAAATGCAAGTATACATAAACTATTCTTCCTTCAAATACCAGCAAGTTTACTTGTCATTTTCAATGCAAGACAGGTCTCTACTTTGTTGCTGTGGCCGTAATTTCTGCCTTGATAGGGCAATGTGTGGTAAGAAAGCTGATCAGTATATTAGGCAGAGCATCTCTAATCATCTTCATTTTATCCTTCACGATCTTTGTCAGTGCGATATCACTAGGTACGTCTCAGAACATACATAAATGTAGATTGGATATATCTTTTGATGGAAGAAATTTTTGTGAAGATTGTTGAGTTGAAAATCGTAATTCTAGTATAACTTCCCTTCCCTTTTTCATGCAGGTGGAGTTGGCATTGCAGACATGATTGAGCAGATTAAGAACAAGGAATACATGGGATTTGAGAACCTTTGCTCGTCCTAAAGCTTAGTTCCTAAAAGCGTCTTAACAAACCATAATAGCTGAAATTCCCAGAACTGCTTGCGAGGTCTGCTTCCAAATACGCTCCTTTCTTTGGTCTAACTTCAGCTAGTTATATTCCTGTGTCTTCATAGACGATTACAAGGACAAATAATGGATAGAGGAATCCAGGTTATTTTCAATGTCAATTACAATGTTGAAGTTGTTGCAGACTAGCATGCCATCAAACCTGCTGTGTGCTGCTGTCCATTTGAATCAATTTTTGTTATTGGAAATTAATATGTTTGTATTTCAATTTGTAGCAGTTTGTTTAGAGAGTTATGTTTGTATTTAGTAACTGTTGAGGTAGTTTTATATCTGCTCTCATTTGTATCTTTTAGAATTTTAAGTTGAGGAATGAAAAACGTATTGCTTCTGCACTCAAAATTTTCTCCTTAATTTCATATTTCATATGCTTGATACGATCACCTTTCATTCAAATAATATTAAGCACCTAAAATATTCCATGGATGGACTAAAAATTCCAATCCCAATATCCTGAGCAATAAGAGTTTCTAGGTCCACCAGGAGAAAATGAACAAGTTTAATCTAGACAAAATGGGGGTCAGATGACAACTACAGTAGCAACAATGTCCCCTTAAGTGTCAAAGAAGAAGAATTCACACTTTACAGAAACATCCCAAAATGGGAAAGTTATTACCTTTCAATCAGAGGTTGACCAAACAAAAATACATATACTAAGGAATGGATCTTAGGAAATAATTCTTGTTCCAGATTCCAAAATGAGTCTAGTAGTAATAAAGCCCTTTAAGATCATTTGAAATGATACGAATCCACATGCCTCAAATTTCTCGAACAAACGAATCACAAATATATCATATTTCTTCAGGAATTCTTCTACCTTGGTTACTGTGCTTATAGTTACTCTGATGACAGGCACAGCAGTCTTCTTCCTTGCCCAAATCACTATTTCTTCCCCAAATAAATACTAATTCAATAAAAATCAAACGCCAATTTTCATAAGGACCCCTCCTATATGCTTTGATAAATGAAATTTCTGAAAAAACAAAAAGCAAAAAACAAAACAAAGCAAATGTTCTGAACCATAACTGAGAATGGCTGCAGAAGCATGACTTGGAGCCTGTTTGGTGTGGCTTACGAAACTTTTTACTTTTTGAATACTGTTATGAGTGATAAATTTAAATTTTTATTGGAAAAAAAATAGAGTTTTAATTTTTAAAAAGGTGAAAAAGTAAGTAAAAAATAAGTAAAAAGGGAATTTATGAAAAATTTAAATTTGAAACTTTTAAATTTTTACTGTTTAAGAGCTTTTTGAAATTAAAATATTAAGAGCTTTTTGAGGTTAAAAAAATATTTAAAAGTGTAAGTTTTTTTAAAAAAAATTTAAATTCATGAGACACATAAATAGTATCCAAAAGCTGAAACTCTTACGAGCTGCATCAAACATGCTCTTACTCAGAAAATCGCCTGAATAAGGTTGGGAAGTCCCATTAACAAAACAGAAGCAGGGTAGGGAACCCCTTGCCATCAAGCATGGAGGCCACTTTCGAGGTACCTATTACCATCAGGCTTAGCCATCAAAAGGGGACTTCCCAATTCCTTCAAGGAGGTTGCAGCCTCAGCAAACTGAGGCATAAGCCCTGGCTCGGCACTCCTCGCACAACAGGTAGCATATCCCAGAACCAGCACATACTCATTCCCATCAATGACCCTCTTGGTGTTACCACTATTAAAGCTCAAGAACTACCCTCTGTGCTTTAGCCAACACTTCTGCCTCTCGTGAGCTCCCACCACCACCACCCCCTTCTTGTTCCTGCCCCCGTTCTTGGTCTTCCAGCTCATCTAATGCTAGAAGTTGTTTGAAATCATCAGAATCATCATTATGGGCGTTATTGCTTGTGGGATCAGATGCAATGGTGGTGGTAATATATGGAGAAGAAGGAGAGAGAGATGACGTTGAAAAGGATACGTTGGATGAGATCTCTGAGGAAAGAGATTAATGGGTTCCTCGGAGGTTAACTGTTGGTAAATCTCAGCACGTGTTCATTGAGTCTTGGGGTAATAGTTAGGAAATTAATTTAAATTAGTTGTTAGTAACTGAGGATTTGATTATTAGACCGGGTGAACATTTCACCCCCTTAAATGAGACGTGCGGCCATCGAACTACTTTTTAGTGAAATTCACGACGGTGGTAGAGATCGAAGCTACAACCACTGCACCAAAGCATTTAAGGTTTGAGGTCGAACTATTGAACCTAAAGATCCGGTTCCATTGAGTCTTGATTGAGATAAGGTTAACAGTTCTTCAAGCCAAAAAGAAGACGCCCCATGTGTCCAAAAGTAAATAAATAAATAAATTGTTCTAGCTGTTTTTATGTTATATGGCCGTAATTTATCTCTTTATATTGTTTTTTTTTTTTTAGACAAAATAATGGATTAATAATTCATAAAGAACAGACAGGTAATGAAAAGGCGGCCAGAAAAGCACTTTTCTTACCTGGCCATAAGTAGACGCATAAGGGCATGGATAGAATTTCACGGATTTAAAACTCATATACATTTATTTAATTATTTGCATACAACCCACAAGATTAAGATCATCAATTACATTCTTACACAGATAAAAAGGGGAAAACATATAATTGTGTCTCCTTCACATTTCCTTGTTTACACATTGAAGAAGGTTATTGAGGCCTCAGCAGCCCAAAAACAGCCATAGATGATGCATCACTCACTCATATATGTGCAAGAGTCCTTCTTGAACTTGATAGCTTTGGTGCTTGTAGAGTCAATAACCAAGGGGCATGAAATCTGTTTCCGGTGTCTAGTCCTCACAAGCTTTCCGACCACATTACCCCTTGACCGAATTTCAAACTTCAACCTCAATGGAACCTCAACCCCAGTTGGTGACACTGTTAAGCTTGATCCTGCTCCATAGAGAGGAACCTTTGTTCCTTCCAAGATCACTGAAACTGTCCGGTGACTCTTTCTTGGTTGATAATACTTCTTCAGCTGCAATAGTAATCATAAAGTTTCAGTGTCAATATTTGCTCATTTTTTTCCCTCTATGAGAATATTAGGAGCATGGTCTTACCTGGCCAGTTGCTACAGGGATTTCGTAATAGATAAGATTGATTGGGGTGGAGCTAATATGGATGCCAAATATTGTAGCAGGATTGTATATGTTCATCTTTAATGACCCATTCACTGTAAGCATTTTTGTTGGGACCCCGGAAAAATCTGTGCCTTCCCCAACATAGAAGTTGTTCACTGTCAAACTCTGCAAGAAAAATTAAGAAGAAGAGATCATGATTTGAGGCAAAATGCATAGGAAACAGAGAAAACAAAGGTAATACCCTGACTGTAATTTCTGCTTTGTAAGGTCTGCTAGCTCCCCAGATAATCAGGCAAAACACTGTAAACAAAACCACGAAAGTGAAGACGGCAAGCAACGCCTGCAATCGCCTCGTTAAACCCTTGTCCTCAAATTCATCGTAAGACCCTTCTTCCATAATAACATTGCACTCTGGCCACCCTTTGTCGTTCCTCTTCCGGCCCCCTTTCCTCCCAGACGAAGACCTGAAAATCCCTGAGAACCGGCTGGCGGAAGAGTTCCTTGAATGCCGTCCGATCGACGATGGGTGCGAAGGTGACTCCATGGGACTGGGTTGAATCGAAGAGGACTTGTCCCCATCATGGGAGTCCCGCGAAGGGCTTTGGACGTAGTACGCGGGACGTTTCGGTGACCTCGATGGTGAAGATGGAGCTAGGCTCGTGATATCGGATTCCGACTTTGTCGACAACATCGTTTCCCCTGAGGATTGAACAGAGGAGGTTGAATCAACAGCTAAAAAGGAGAACTGTAATTCATTAAATGAAACATCAAATTCAGGAATAAAATGGTACCCAATACCTGAAATTTTCTACCCTGAGAAACTGAATTTATGGAGAGACGATATAGAAGGGAAATCCAAAGCAGAATTTGAGTTCAGTAGTTCTCTGTTTCACTCTGTTTTTGAAAGGAAGAAAACAGAGTGAGGCAGGGCAATGAAAGGAGCAAAATGCACACGTTTCACTCAGAAACAAAGTAAGGGATGATAAGGGTAGGCTTGGTGCAATGCTACTCTGCCGGCATGATTGCCTTGCCTGCCCCACTAGGGTCGGGTGTGAGTGTCGGCAGCAAAATTTGTTGTTTGAAGAGGGGTAGTTCGGCAATTATGTTCCTGCATGACATTTTTAAAATTTTCTCAATTAGCCCCCTAGACTTTTGGGGAAATATAATAAAAACTGTGTATTATATGATTTGTTCAATTAAGAGAGAAGTTAACGACAAAAGCCACTTAACTTCCATCTCCATGTTGATTGTTGACGGTTTAGTTCTTGCTTAATCAACTTTCTGAGATTGTAAGTTTAAATAATAATATTAAGTGAGAAAAGGTTATTCTATATGTGTTTTAACACAAAGATGATTTCTTTTTTATATCCAAATATAATATCGGTTACAACTTTAGTAAAAAAATTTTACTCGACAAGACCTTATAACAAAGAGCTGATACTCTTTTGTGACATTTTCAATTGAAGTTTGGCTATGACTCGCAAGATCATGGTTTGTAGTAGCTAAATTGACTTGAAAATAAGTTTAAGGACTAGACTGAGAAAAATTAGTAAGTTCAATGGCTTACTTAAGAGCGGTGTTCTTTGGTTTTGATGCGTTCTCTTTTCTACAGTGTATACAAGCTGGCTACCTCTTCTGAAAAAAAAAAAGGTGCTGGCTACCAAATTTGTATTAGATTAGCGTTAAAAAAAATATATATCAGATTAGATTAGATTCCTTAATAATTTGTTTTCTTGTAGGTTCTCCTTCTCAATCCTTCTTTGGATTATACCAAAATGACAAGCATGATCTCATCCTTCTGCTTTTTAATTTTGTTTTCATTTCCGTCGTTACTTTTTCATTTCTTTTTCCGGAAATGGCCATTGAGAGAATCATTTAAGTGATAATAAATTACAGTAATGAAAATGATTAATTGTTAATAATATCAAATTGACTATGGTTTTTCTTATTAAGCGAAACACAAACTTCATAAAAAGTTAGTCATCATCAAATAATCATGTCAATGTTGAAGTTATATATATAATGAAAAATTATTTTGTAGTTTGAATTGCACAACAATAACGGTTAGATAAGAGAAAAGTTTCTTTTTCCATCCAACCGTACTTGTTTTGCAATCTAGTACCGAACTGCAAAACAAGAGACTTTATATATAATCATAAGAAAGGAATAGAAAAACCTAATTTCATTTCTTTTTTTCAATGATAAAATACGAATGCAGCAGCATTAAGCTTACAATAAATTGTTTTTCCATCAAACTAACTGCTAAACCACAGGAGTTAGCAATGGTTTGTTCAGAAACTGAGCCTCCAAGTTCCCAATCACAAGATCAGCCATGGCTTGGCGAGTTTCCACTGTGGCACTTCCTACGTGAGGCAAGAGCACCACATTTTCAAGCTTGAAGAGTTTTTCAGGTACTTCAGGCTCATGCTCATAAACATCAAGTCCAGCAGCACCTAGTCGACCTTCTACTAGTGCCGAAACAAGCTCAGGTTCATCAACATGAGGGCCCCTCCCAACGTTGATGAGAACACCCTTTGGACCCAAAGCATCAATAACTTCTCGGTTGACAATGTGGCGGGTTTCTTCTGTCAGTGCGCAAGCAACTACCAGGATTTGACAGTTGGATGCCAACTCAACAACACTAGGGTAGTATTTATAGTTTACTTCTGATTTCTGTGTTCTTGAGTAGTAACTAATAGGGCAGTTAAAAGCCTCAGCTCTCTTTGCAGTTGCCATACCGATCCTGCCCAGTCCAATGATACCAACTGACTTTCCTGTGAACTGAAATGCCAAGCATGAACAGGTTTAGAGGGGCAGAACGAAAAGGAAAATTATGAGATAAAACTGATGGTCCTTCATCCAGAGTAATATAGTGTTATACGTTAGTGAAAGTCTCTCAACCAAAGGAATATTGTGTTATATGTTAAGAGAAGCAATTATTATTAATTTTTTAAATAGCTCCACGAGCAAATAGAACTCAGAATAATTCACATCTCCTAACGTTTTCCATACCAGATGAACGCAAAACATCTGTTAACAAACTTGGGGAGGGAGATTGAACTTGATTTTACCATGTGCTTGCTACAACCTAACAAAATAACATTTTCAAAAATCCACAGGAAGAAATTATACATTCAGATTGGAGCAACAATTGACAGCAAGTGCAAATAGAATTACTTCCTATTCTTATAGGAAAAGAGAAAGGCCAAACTCTACATGATAAAGTAAAAACACTTCAACATCAATAGAAATGAAAAGGAAAATCTCCAGTCACATAAAAAGGAAAAAAAAGAAGAAGAAAAGAATAGCTGCTTCTTTCTCAAGAAGGCATATCTTCTTAAAATCTGATAAATGATGAAATAAGTGAAGGTCCAGAAAAACTTAGAATACCAACATATAGGACTTGCATAAATACCAACATCTACACTGCAAAGAATAAAGCTTTAATATTTAATGTCTTGATTCTCTTGAAAATAAATATATATCCAATAAGTGAGTGTTGAGCTGTTCAGTCCCTTTATAAGTTTAATTGTAAAATTTTCATTAGAATGGCATAAAAAAGAGAGATGGGGGAAAGCACAAACAAGAAACTTCAACTCAATCACAGACTACATGAATCCTCTTCTTTCATTATGCCTAATAATGGACCATAGTTTCCTCAAGATCAAGAATTACTGCATAAGTAAACAATACATGTACATGACTGTATAAGACAACTAAAATGGCCACCCATTTATCAAACAAAGGTGAGGCCTGAAGCATGCAGTTGTAGTCAACCAAAAATAATGGGAACTTAGGGAAGGAAAAACCCAATACAACATTATAATATAATCAAACACTAACATTACCTAATCAAACAGAGTTCAATCACAATCCACCTGAAAATTTGCTAACAAATAACAAATCCAGCAAAATCCAAGACCGACCCAGAAAACTGTATCATCAAATTCATAAAATAATAATGCCCCGGACATATTAAAATCATACGAGCAACCCAAAAACAAAGAAGTCAACAATACCAAACAATGTACATACCTTACTGGTCAACCGGAAGTCCCCTTTCTTCCACTTGCCACCCCTCACATACCGGTCGCTCTCACACAGCTTCCTTAGCACTGCCAGCATCAGCCCAATGGCCAAGTCTGCAACGTCATCCGTCAACACATCAGGCGTGTTGGTGACTCTAATCCCCTTTTCCTTGCATTTGGCCAAGTCAATCTTGTCCAGCCCCACACTGAAGCTGGAGACAATTTCCAGCTTAGGAAGCGCCTCTATCAGCTGGGCGTCCGCACCGGCCTTCGAGTTTCCGACAACTGCGCGGATGGAATTCTTGTGGGTGCTGATGAACCCCGATTTTTCAGGAGCCTTCCAGAGTCTGAGCAAGTTGAAGCGCTTATCGAGCTCTTGCTCAAGGTACCCGTTCATTGGTATGGGCATAAGGACTCCGATTGATTCCATTTCGGAAGAATGTGAGGACAGGTGAGAGGAGATTTCTAAGCGGGGACGGGGAGGCCAACATATTTGGAGAAAGAGATGATTCCGAGCGTAGATTGGAAGGAGCAAAACTTACAGAAAAACGACGTCGTGCAAGCGAATATAATAGATTGTTTAATTTAAAAAAAAACAATTTCTATTGCAATCCAAATTGAAAAATAAATACCATTAAATAAGAAATATTTTTAATATTATAAAATTCACGTTTCATTCAATTAGATAAATGTTGTACAATTTGATATTGTTTAAACTACATATTAAAATTTGGATATAAGTCATCTTATAATAAAATCCAATTTTAAGTTTACTAAATGTATATATTTCTTATATTTAGATTCAATTTCAAGTTTTAAGATTAATAGTATGTATATAAAGAAATTAATTTATTTTAAAATTTTTAAATGTATAGTAGACCACCTAACTGTCAAATAAAAATCATTTGGAGTTTTTTTTTTTTTTTCTCTACATGACAATGGAAGTTTTGGGATGACTCTGTTTCTCCCTGATTTTCAGCTAATGCTAACAATTTTAACCATCCAAATTTTCCTCTTCTGACACCCTCTTACAGCGAAGAACAAAACTCAAAACAAACCAAATTTGTTTTTGTTTATTTCTCTCTTCCAGCCACTCCTCTGCTTCATAAACATGCACCCTACGTTCCTCAACAAACAAAAATTGGAAAAACTACCAAACTCACTAAATTCCCCTCAATCATAAAAAAAAAAAATCATCTCTCCAAAATTTATTTGGGAATTGGGATTTGGGCTCTTCTCCCTCCTTTTCATTTTCCCCCACTCCAAAAAATCAAGAACAATCATTTTCTACCTTCTTGTCTATTTTCCCAACAGGGGCTTTCAGGTTCTTGATGAATTAATAGTTCCCGAGGTTTCTTGTTCAAGAAGAAATAAAAGAAAAGAAAATGGTTCGGGCTCTTGAACTGGAGCAAGAAAATTTCATGTCTAGGTTGTTCAATTTCAGGGGGACAAATGAAAATGCAGGGAGGCGTGCAAAGACCCTTAGCATTGACAGTGCTAGTAGATTAGAAGAGGCGAGATTGAATTCTCCCAACGATAAACCATCGGGATCCCTCGTTAATATCAGGCCTGTTAAGGTTAACAAGGATGAAATCATTGCTTCCTACCAAGCCAAAGAAAAGCAGCTACTACAAGGTTGGTTTTTGGAATTTTGATTTTTTTTCCCCTTAATTATTATACAAATTCTATCAATATTTTGACTTGAACCCATGATTATTGATTCAGAAATGGAGCAGATGAAGGAAAGGTTTGGAAAATTGCTTTTGGGTGAGGATATGTCTGGTGGGGGAAAGGGAGTTTCATCGGCTTTAGCATTGTCGAATGCCATCACAAATCTAGCTGGTATCTATGTTTCTTTCTTAGAAATGATTAGAACGAATATATGTTGTCTCAAACTTATGTACAAATGGATTGCAGCCTCTGTGTTTGGGGAACAATGGCGTTTGGAGCCTATGTCTGCGGAGAGGAAAGCGAGGTGGAGGAGAGAAATCGACTTGCTCTTGTCTGTCACGGATCACATTGTTGAATTTGTTGCTTCTCAACAGAAAAACAAAGATGGTACTAATATGGAGGTACCTTTCTTCGTCCCCCTTCCCTCATAGTAATTAGGGGTGAAAATGAGCTTGAGCTCTTTGACTTTTTTATTATTTGATGCCACAGATTATGGTCACGAAGCAAAGGATAGATCTTCTTATGAACATTCCTGCCCTACGGAAGCTTGATGCAATGCTCATTGTAAAGTCATTAGCTTTTTCATGGTATTAAGTTCTCTTAAGCTCGAAAATGGACTCACCGTGTTTTTGCCTCCATGTAACAACCAGGATAGTTTGGACAACTTCAAGGATCAAAATGAGTTCACTTATGTATCAAGAGATGCTCCAGATTCAGAAAAAGGAAACGCCAAAAGAAAAGATGATAAATGGTGGCTCCCAACCGTTAAAGTTCCCCCCAATGGTCTCTCTGATTCTGCAAGAAAATTTGTGCAGTACCAGAAAGATTGTGTGAACCAAGTGCTAAAAGCAGCAATGGCGATCAATGCTCAAGTTCTATCAGAGATGGAGATCCCAGAAAACTATATTGAATCCCTCCCCAAGGTAAAGAAATAACATGGACATGTTAAAAATGATATAGATACGGTAATCAAAGAATTTACAGTTTCCTTACTTGCATTGTTGGTGATGCTTTTTTAGAATGGAAGAGCTAGCCTTGGAGACTCGGTCTATAGGAGTATCACGGTTGAATTCTTTGATCCAGATCAGTTTCTATCGACAATGGACTTGTCATCAGAGCACAAGATTCTAGACCTCAAGAACAGAATTGAGGCATCTATAGTGATATGGAAGAGGAAGATGAACCATAAGGATGGAAAATCCTCTTGGGGTTCAGCTATTAGCTTGGAGAAGAGAGAACTATTTGAGGAGAGAGCAGAGACAATCTTACTCATACTCAAACAACGATTCCCCGGAATTCCTCAATCTGCATTAGACATTAGCAAAATCCAATTCAACCGGGTAAATTCTTAACTATACGTCTGTTACTCAATAGAATACAGTGCAGGGTGATGAGCTGAATGCTCTGCCTTTTTGTCCTGTGCTCTTTATTAAGTTTGAAGGAAAATGAACCTAGAAAGTAACCATGGATTTGCAATTGACTTCACAGGATGTAGGGCATGCTGCCCTAGAAAGCTATTCAAGAGTACTAGAAAGCTTGGCCTATACGGTACTGTCACGGATCGAAGATGTTCTCTATGCTGATTTTGTTGCACAAAACCCATCACAAGTATCAAGTAAAGGAAATCCTCTTAAGGAGGGCACACCAATTACAGTGCTTCCGACTTCAAAAGATAACGGAGATAGGGGAATGGATAGGTCAAATTCAATGACACTCTCGGATTTACTTACTTGGAGTATGGACCAAGGTGAGAATGAGACAAAGAAGGAATCATCAGAGGAGTTAACAAAAGAGGCTGAAGGGAAGCATTCACACAAACTCAATATAGTGTTCAAGAGACCTTCCTACCTTGACAACTTGGGTGGATCAAGAAGTCCGACATCACGCCACTGATGACAGACAGCAGGGAGAGAAGATTAAGTGAAAGCAACAGAGAAAATGAAAGCAATGAGTGAGGGAGAAAATGATAGATCAATTTAATTCTAAGTGAAAGAAAGCCAGACCTTACCATTGTAAATTATCAGAACCAGATGAGGTTCATCCCGAGTCTGGTTTACTTTCTCACATTATTTTCCTTTCGTAATTAGGTTTTGAAACATTTCAAATAGGCCAAAGCCCCTGTTTGCACCCTCTATTTATTTTTTTTCTGCGGTCAATACCTTCCAGAATTTTTCTTCCCTATTCACACCCTTCACTTTTCAAAACCTATGAAAAACCCAATATTTTAACGGGCTGTCACGGTACCGTTAAAAAATATATTACGTGGCATCCAAAAATTGACGTGGCACTATGTAACGTTAATAATCCAACGTGGATTTTTTTTTTATGACGTAGTTTATTTTTTACGGATGTGGACACCACGTATACAGGAAAAATAATAAAAAATTATAATATTATCAAATAGTTACATAAATGGCATTTTTTCTTTTTTTTTTTTCCCCCCTCATCCTCGGCATCATCTTCACCATCCTCCATCTTCAACATCCTCTTCTCAATGGGTTCCTCGCAGGGAACCCAGTTCGGGTTCCTGCGCGGAACCCAATTTTGGGCTCCTGCACGAGGAACCCAGTTCCAACATTTTTTATTTTATTTTATTTTAAATGTATTTATCTTAGCTTTCGATTTTATGCAAAGCAATTTGGAATAATTTTTTTGTTGGAAATGTGAGTTTTTTTTGCTTGGAGATTGTTTCTGAATAGGTTGTCAATTTGAGTTTTTTTTCGTTTTTTGTGGGAAAGGAGTAGAAGATGCTTATTATGTTTTTGTGCAGTATTCATTTACTTATAATTGTGTGAATGAAAATCTTAACTTGGTAGGCATTTATGTGAAATTAGGTTCCACAAAGAACTCAGAACCTAGGTTTCACGAGAAACCTAGGGGGATGAGGGTGAGGATGGTGAAGATGATGCCGGGAAAGAAGAAAATGAAGAAATTAAAATTAATGATGATTTAATTATAACACATATAAAAAAAAGTCCAACATTGGATTAATAAATGTGATATAAAGTTCTGGGTTCCTGATTCCATGAGGAACCCAGGAGGATGAAGAGGAAGATGGTAAAGATGATGCAGGAAAGAAGAAAATGAAAAAATTAAAATTAATTATGGTTTAATTATGCCATATCATCAAAAAAAAAAGTCCACATATTACAATTTTTAACGGTTATTAACGGTACCATGACGGCTCGTTAAAATATTAAGTTTTTCACGGGTTTTGAAAAGTGGAGGATGTGAATAGGGAGGAAAAATTCTGCAAGGTGTTGACTGCGGAAAAAAAATAAATAGAAGGTGCAAATAGGGGCTTTGGCCTTTCAGATATGTACAACACATGGCTTTGTTGTTGGATAGCTACTGAAAAATGAAGATTTTTTTGC